TCATTTCATCACTCATTCATTAAATCATTAAGAAACGGTCTGATTTTTTTAATCATTAAAACTTGTCCTTAATCATGCTTTAACTAAAATCACTCCATCAATGATTCATGAAATCATTTAGAAACAAACTGATTTTTTTTATTGAAGCTCTTGATTAAAGTTGTTGTCTTTAATAATAATCTTGAATAAGCTGTAATTTATGTAAATCTCTTACTCCAGTTTTGTTGTATATAATGTAATTTGAATACATTTGTGGTAATTTGAAAGACATATCATTCCACGACAATCTCTCTCAAAAGGATAAAGATAAAAAACTTATCTTTTGGTTTTAATTTGGTTAGGTGATGAAGTAATCTCATTTGCTTAAATTTTCAAGAGAAGTCGAATATTGAATGCATGCGTTCAAGAGAAGATGAAATTGTAACTGTAATGTTTTTATACATTCAAAAATATTCACACTTATTGTGTTTGATCTCAACTCTCCTATTGAAATAGACTCTCATACGTTAACATTATTTTCTTAATTTACACACGTGTACTAACTGTTTTAACTGATTAGTAAAACGGTTTTCTTTGTAACTAAGGAGTAATATTAATTAACTACTGAATTGTTCTTAATTCACATGGCATAAACGAATGCTTAAATAAAAATCATTGGGATTCCCTAGATATGATATTTTTTCAATAACCACTCAGTAAAACAAACATGTGTTAGTTGTTCAATCCCAACCCCCTAAAGCAAAGACTTAATCGTAAATACATAGCAAAGACTTAATTGTAAATACATTTAAACCATGGTAGTCTATGGAAAGATATGGTGCGCGCAATATGTGCCATCACCATGAAAAAGTGGTCTGTCACTGTAGTGCCATATGTGCCATATGCGCCATTTGTATAAGTGTCTTGGCCATTCCTCATGAAAATTGCCTTTGTGATGTTTTCCTATATTGATGTAGAAAATTTAACTAACTAATTTACTTGTCTTACACTCTTACTATACACATATGAACCAACTATAAGTTAATAATTAACTAACTAATTCACTTGTCTGACATTCTTACTATAAATGTCTAATTTTTGAAATAAACTTCTATCAAATAATGTTTTCATTACACTAAGTTGTCAAAGACATAAATTCCACTAAGGTGTTTTTAAAACTTAAACCTTGCACCCATGTTTTAAGTTCAAATGGATGAATATCAATTTACTATAACAAGTGTTGTCTCTTAAATCATGATTTACGTTCTATGATTTTTATCTTCTTAGACCATGTTTTGCTAATCTAGTATCTGTATAGGCAATCTACCTTAACTCTTAATAGGGAAACCCTTGCATAAGTTCACCAATTCAATTGGTTCAGTTTGTCCTTATCTATGGTCCTTTTGAGTTGGCCAAACATGAGATTTATAGTGTTGTACCATTTAATCCAAAAATGATTGGAATGCTGCCTATTGGCCAGGTAAACTCTTCCTCTGTTTTACACATAATAACATCAACTAATGAACTCAATCAGGCTATCAACATGAGGCATTTTCAATCAAAAAATTGTGAAACTTTCTATGATTCAATTCTTTTCTTCTATAATATAAGATTTATTTTCTACGATTCAAATCTTTTATAAGCACATTTTCTAAACTGATATGAATGTGGCATTTCCCTCTAACATGGAACTGCTTGATGTTAACAAATACTCAAGCACATAATATTTGAAGTATGAGCAGCACTATCTAATTTAATAAAGAACATATACATTTAAGTTGTAAAATAGAAGTGTATAAATACAGTTTTACAAAGATCTCATGTTTGATCTTTTCTGCAGGTGTTCAAACTTGGACTTTATAGGGTTGTTAAGCGTTAATGCTAAAAACGAATGGGACAGTTACAACGAATGCAGAGTTTTGGGTAAAGTCTATTATTTTTCACTTGGCCCTCAATATATATTTTATTAAAATTTCTTGGTTCATAGAAGATCTTAAACTCTTTTTAACATTAAATGGACTGATATGTTACCAAGACACAATTTTGTGCTTTTGATAGGGTCTGATATTCTGTAAAAAATGTTCAAAGCACCTTCAAGTCTCAAATATGTGAGTCCTTTATTTTTTACCCATGTTTTATTTCAGTACTTAGACTATCGGTTCAAACTTGACACATTTATTCTTGATTTCGGAAAACATTATGTAAGCAAGGCAATTAGTTTTTGAGAGCTTATTATTTGTGAGGATTATAGCAGATATAAATTAAATCAAATGCATAACATTTGGGTAATTTTTACTTAACTTGTCCTTAATCATGCTTAACTAAAATCATTTCATCACTCATTCATTAAATCATTAAGAAACAGTCTGATTTTTTTAATCATTAAAAGTTGTCCTTAATCATGCTTTAACTAAAATCACTCCATCAATGATTCATGAAATCATTTAGAAACAAACTGATTTTTTTTATTGAAGATCTTGATTAAAATTGTTGTCTTTAATAATAATCTTGAATAAGTTGTAATTTATGTAAATCCCTTACTCCAGGTTTGTTGTATATAATGTAATTTGAATACATTTGTGGTAATTTGAATGATATACCATTACAGGACAATCTCTCTCAAAAGGATAAAGATAAATACTTATCTTTTGGTTTTAATTTGGTTAGGTGATGAAGTAATCTCGTTTGCTTAAATTTTAAAGAGAAGTCGAATATTGAATGCATGCTTTCAAGAGAAGATGAAATTGTAATTGTAATGTTTTTATACATTCAAAAATATTCACACTTTTATTGTGTTTGATCTCAACTCTCCTATTTTCTTAATATACACACGTGTACTAACTGTTTTAACTGATTAGTAAACCGGTTTTCTTTGTAACTAAGGAGTAAAATTAAATAATTACTGAATTGTTCTTAATTCACATGGCATGAACGAATGCTTAAATAAAAAACATTGGGATTCCCTAGATATGATATTTTTTCAATAACCACTCACTCAAACAAACATGTGTTAGTTGTTCAATCCCAATCCCCCTAAAGCAAAGACTTTATCGTAAATACATAGCAAAGACTTAATCGTAAATATATTTAAACCATTGTAGTCTATGGAAAGATATGGTACGCGCAATATGTGCCATCGCCATGAAAAAGTGGTCTGTCACTATAGTGTCATATGTGCCATATGCGCCATTTGTATAAGTGTCTTGGCCATTCCCCATGAAAATGGCCTTTGAGATGTTTTCTTATGTTGATCTAGAAAATTTAACGAACTAATTTACTTGGCTTACACTCTTACTATAGACATATGAACCAACTATAAGTTAATAATTAACTAACTAATTCACTTGTCTGACATTCATACTATAAATGTCTAATTTTTGAAATAAACTTCCATCAAATAATATTTTCATTACACTAAGTTGTCAAAGACATAAATTCCACTAAGGTGTGTTCAAAACTTAAACCTTGCGCCCATGTTTTAAGTTCAAATGGATGAATATGAACTTACTATAGCAAGTGTTGTCTGTTAAATCAAGATTTACGTTCTATGATTTTTATCTTCTTAGACCATGTTTTGCCAATCTAGTATCTGTATAGGCAATCTACCTTAACTCTTAATAGGGTGACCCTTGCATAAGTTCACCAATACATTTGGTTCAGTTTGTCCTTATCTATGGTTCTTTTTTAGGTGGCCAAACATGAGATTTATAGTGTTGTACCATTTAATCCAAAAATGATTGGAATGCTGCATATTGCCCAGGTAAACGCTTCCTCTGTTTTACTCATAATAACATCAACTAATGAACTCAATCAAGCTATCAACCTGAGGCCTTTTCAATCAAAAAATTGTGAAACTTTCTATGCTTCAATTCTTTTCTTCTATAATATAAGATTTATTTTCTATGATTCAAATCTTTTATAAGCACATTTTCTAAACTGATATGAATGTGGCATTTCCCTCTAACACGGAACTGCTTGATGTTAACAAATACTCAAGCACACAATATTTGAAGTATGAGCAACACTATCTAATTTAATACAGAACATATACATTTAAGTTGTAAAATAGAAGTGTATAAATACAGTTTTACAAAGATCTCATGTTTGATCTTTTCTGCAGGTGTTCAAACTTGGACTTTATAAGGTTTCTAAGCGTTAATGCTAAAAACGAATGGGACAGTTACAACGAATGCAGAGTTTTGGGTAAAGTCTATTATTTTTCACTTGGCCCTCAATATATATTTTATTAAAATTTCTTGGTTCATAGAAGATCTTAAACTCTTTTTAACATTAAATGGACTGATATGTTACCAACACACAATTGTGCTTTTGATAGGGTCTGATATTCTGTAAAGATTGTTCAAAGCACCTTCAAGTCTCAAATATGTGAGTCCTTTATTTTTTACCCATGTTTTATTTCAGTACTTAGACTATCGGTTCAAACTTGACACATTTATTCTTGATTTCGGAAAACATTATGTAAGCAAGGCAATTAGTTTTTAAGAGCTTATTATTTGTGAGGATTCTAGGAGATATAAATTAAATCAAATGCATAACATTTGGGTAATTTTTACTTAACTTGTCCTTAATCATGTTTAACTAAAATCATTTCATCACTCATTCATTAAATCATTAAGAAACGGTTTGATTTTTTAATCATTAAAACTTGTCCTTAATCATGCTTTAACTAAAATCACTCCATCAATGATTCATGAAATCATTTAGAAACAAACTGAATTTGTTTATTGAAGCTCTTGATTAAAGTTGTTGTCTTTAATAATAATCTTGAATAAGCTGTAATTTACGTAAATCTCTTACTCCAGTTTTGTTGTATATAATGTAATTTGAATACATTTGTGGTAATTTGAATGATTGACCATTCCAGGACAATCTCTCTCAAAAGGATAAAGATAAAATACTTATCTTTTGGTTTTAATTTGGTTAGGTGATCAAGTAATCTCGTTTGCTTAAATTTTCAAGAGAAGTCGAATATTGAATGCATGCTTTGAAGAGAAGATGAAATTGTAATTGTAATGTTTTTATACATTAAAAAATATTTGTTAATCCCAAAATACTAACAATCATACAACCATAGCAGTCATATAGAAGCAGATAGGAAGAAATCGACAAGATAAGAACCGAATCTGGTATACCGTATGAACCTGCCGCTACTCTCCCTGGAGAAGGAGAGCAGCGGCAACCCCAATTTCTCTCTATCTCGCCTCTGCGCCTCTAAGCCTCTTACGATCAGTTAGGTTCCCGTAAGTTAGCCTCCTTTTATAGGAGAAGTTGGCTAACTTACGGGTTACAAGGAAGCCCACGGGCTGATACACATTTGTGGCCCGGATTACACGTTTAATTAATAACTACACAAATACAAAGATAACTAACTAGATTGAACACCATAAAATATTCCCAACAATCTCCCCCTTGGTGATCAATCATGTTGAATCAGCATTGCAGCGCAGATATCTTTGTCTTTGTTGTTATTTGAGCTTCCTTTGTCTTTGAACTTGACTTCTGAGGAAGGCTATCTGAAGAAATCCTTGCAATCTCCCCTTTGATGTCTTCTTGACAATTTGATCTTTGATGTCGGGGGTTGAGGGACCTTCAGTATCTTGCATGTAGTTCTTGCCTTCCAGAAGTTGCTATTGATCAGCTTGGATGAAGTCCGGTGACGCCTTTGGAATGAATATTCTTTGGAGAAACAGGAGACGCCCATGGAATTCATCTTCAGGACATGAGTATTTGACCTTTGTCTCCTCCACAATGTAGTCTTTTTGACTATTTGGAATGAATGCATTTGAGGAGAACTTGTGGGTGGCACAGCGGAACATAATGATTGTTGATTTGTGAGTGTAGCTGACCATTTGATTTGAGTTGTAGAGATAGCAGAGAAGGTGTTGATTTTTGTGATGGAGTGAAGTGTCCCAGAATGATTTGTTCAGTGTTAACAGCATGTGGACCACTCTCCCCCTCATGACGATCCGATGAATCGGGACGTCATGCTTTTATTCTTTTATTCTGCAGAAATAAAAACATGAAAAACAAGCAGAATCTAAAAAAGATAACGTAGCCCCCCGGGGTCGTGAAGACGCCCGTTATCATCACTATAGAGATAAACTCTTAATCAATGGCTTGAAAATGTTGGTGATTCTTATGTTGCAACAGCAAGACTTCCTTCCAATTATTGGTCTACATCTGTAATAGATGAGCCCTATGGAAGTTCTCGCAAGTCTTGAAGACTAGCAACTGACTCTAAAATGTGTCTGTGTCCTAGAAAATTTCAAAACATTTGGGAAGTGAGTAACTAGACACGACGTGATCAATGAAAGTTCAGTGGCATGGGGCTGAGGCCACTGTAGTCAGTTTTACTTGCCTCGGAAGGAGACAGTAATGAGAGATGCGGTTCCCCGTGAACTATGATTAAACACCTGTCTGTTGGGAGACAAGTGAGTGGTCTAGGGTAGGGTTGTGCATGCGCCGTTTGGACAAAATGCAGCGACTTCTACCCGGGATCTGAATAAATTCAGTCCTGAACCTATGGGGATAGTCCAGAGTATTTTAGTGGCTAGGAGCAAATGTTCAATTCATAGCAGGCAATTGAGGTAGCAGACTCATCATTGATAATTGTTTTTCTTCTCACTTGAGCCTTCTGCTTCCTAATGCTCATAATGTTCTCTCACTCACTCGCTCACTTACGCACTTACGCTCGGCTTTGTCCCTTGGGTAGGCTTAGTTGGGTTTACTAAGCCATAGGGACATGTTCTCTCATTACTTTCTCGTTTTCTCTCTGTACTCCCCCTCAACTGGAGCACTCGGTATGCTTTGTCATTGTTAGGCACCGGGGAGGATAACATTGAACACTCCCCCTAAAATGTTGCATCCTTTGAGAGATTCCTTGCTTTGTCGGTGTAAGGCGCCAGGAGGAGAAAACTGAAACTCACCCTCAGAATGTGCAAGGTTTGATTGCTCACAGCTTGTCATACCCGCCATGTGTGTGGAGCAATCTGAACATGTACCACACATGACGGTTTCCTGAGCTCACCATGTAGAATTTCAGCATATCGATGATCACATAATGTTGATGAGTCAGGGGAGGCTCCAGCAGTTGATTGTTGATTGTTGTAAGATGACCGTTGACGCGAGGTTGATTGAATTATCTACAATTTTCAGACCTTTACATTGAAGTTTAGAAAAGCTTTGACCTCAGGGTTGACATTGAAAGAATTTGAACAGATTTGCCTAAGTTTTGACCTGGACATCGGTGATTTAAAATGTTTGTCGGAAAACTAACGTTTTGACCCTCAAAGACTGAGAGTGAGGGCGCGTGAGAATGGGTTCTGGGACGTAGCCCAAGAATTAATGTAGATCTTTTCGTTAGCTTTCCAACAAAAAATCTTTTGCTCAAATCGGATCACCGAGTCAAAAGTTATGGCCAAAACAGTGCGGTGTCGCAGAAAATCTCTAATTTTGAGTTTTTGAGGAATTTCTTCGAAGTTGAGGTTCTCGATGATGAATGTCGAGAGCAAGTGGATTTTAAACAAAAGTCTAAGGCAATATTTCGAAATCCTAATCTCGAGGTTTAAATCTTGAGATTACAATCTCGAGGTTGTCTCGAAGAATAATGGCGAAATCCACCTGCAAAACAAACCTCAGAATATCGAAATCTGCAGAATTTCAAAATGTTTGAACATCGAAAACTTTGGAGTTTCGAAAACCTCATAATCTCGAAAACTTGTTGTTTGAAAAACATCAGAACATTGAAAACTCCTGAAACATTTATAAGCAGGGAATCATTCAGAGATCCTTATAATGTAAAGCTTCGATGAACTGCAAAGGATGTCAAGATTCGAATTATGAGTTCCAAGATACTGCAAACTTTGAAAGATTCAAAACATCGAGAAATTTTTGAAAATCTCGAAATCTTCAGAATGTCGAGATCCAAAACATCGAGATCCCAAATGTCGACATCCCAAAACTCGAAATTCCTAAACTCGAGATCACAAATCTCGAGATCTTGATTTCGAGATTCAAATCTCGAGATCATGATATCGAGATTCAAATCTCGAGATCAAGTTTTCGAGATGCAGATCTCGAGATCAAGATGTCGAGATGCAGATCTCGAGATCAAGATGTCGAGATGCAGATCTCGAGATCAAGATGTCGAGATGCAGATCTCGAGATCAAGATGTCGAGATGCAGATCTCGAGATCAAGATGTCGAGATGCAAATCTCGAGATCTCAAAAGTCGAGAAGAAGAAATCGAGTCCCTAAATGTCGAGATCCTGCAAAACGAAAACATTGATTTTTGGAAATCTGAAACCTGTTCTGAATAGCCCTGAAAGTCGAGATTCTCCTGTATCAGTTTCAAGCCAAAAACGTTTCTGCAGCAGTGAAAAATAAGGATTTCGAGATCTCAATGTAGAGATCTTCGAAATATAAAAATTGCAGAAAACGAAAAAAGAGGTATGCTGCTGGATTGGTTTTGAAAGGCGAATCCAACAGTATGATTTTTACAAAATTTCGTTCACAAACGAGATTACAGGAGCAAATCTCTACATATAGAAAAACTGAAGAAAAAACAGAGCAATTCTTCGTTAAATCCAAAAATCGCAGACAGATCCAACCTGTTTCACGCCTCCGCTCTGATACCAAATGTTAGTCCCATAATTTAACATTCAACAATCATAACAAGAAGAATAAGAAGCAGATAGAAAGAAATCGACAAGATTGAAACGCAAATCTGGTAAACCGTATAAACCTGCCGCTACTCTCCCTGGAGAAGGAGAGCAGCGGCAACCCTAATTTCTCTCTGTCTCGCCTCTGCGTCTCTAAGCCTCTATTCGATTAGTATGGGTTCCCGTAAGTTAGCCTCCTTTTATAGGAGAAGTTAGCTAACTTACAGGTTACAAGGAAGCCCACGGGCTGATACACATTTGTGGCCCGGATTACACGTTTAATTAATAACTACACAAATACAAAGATAACTAACTAGATTGAACACCATAAAATATTCCCAACAATATTCACACTTTTATTGTGTTTGATCTCAACTCTCCTATTGAAATAGACTCTCATGCCTTAACATTATTTTCTTAATTTACACACGTGTACTAACTGTTTTAACTGATTAGTAAAACGGGTTTCTTTGTAACTAAGGAGTAATATTAATTAACTACTGAATTGTTCTTAATTCACATGGCATGAACGAATGCTTGAATAAAAAAACATTTGGATTCCCTAGATATGATATTTTTTCAATAACCACTCACTCAAACAAACATGTGTTAGTTGTTCAATCCCAATCTCCCTAAAGCAAAGACTTAATCGTAAATACATTTAAACCATGGTAATCTATGGAAAGATATGGTGCGCGCAATATGTGCCATCGCCATGAAAAAGTGGTCTATGATTCAAATCTTTTATAAGCACATTTTCTAAACTGATATGAATGTGGCATTTCCCTCTAACATGGAACTGCTTGATGTTAACAAATACTCAAGCACACAATATTTGAAGTATGAGCAACACTATCTAATTTAATACAGAACATATACATTTAAGTTGTAAAATAGAAGTGTATAAATACAGTTTTACAAAGATCTCATGTTTGATCTTTTCTGCAGGTGTTCAAACTTGGACTTTATAGGGTTTTTAAGCGTTAATGCTAAAAACGAATGGGACAGTTACAACGAATGCAGAGTTTTGGGTAAAGTATTATTTTTCACTCTACAATGCCAATTTTATGTACTAAAATAAATTAACGATATGCTAAAAATGGCTAAACTATACTTATCTCTTACCTACAGTTGATTACCAGATATCCCTAATATTGTTGTTGCTTTAAAAAATGTTCTCATTCTTATATGACCAAGAACCTATCCACCATATGCACTGGTGTGCTGATGGTTGTTTTCCTAAAATGTAACATCTAAACTGCAATGTGACAAAAATTAACATTTACTTCAAATCATTTTCTCAACCAAGCCAAGCTTTTATATTTTTAAAATATGAACTGTATGAACCAATCAATTGTGTGTGCCTCTATATGAATTACAAAACGTAGATGCATATATAAACCCAAGCACAAAATACTCTGTTTTTCGTATAATTTTGGCGATCTTCATCAAAATTTTGGTTGTCTATGCAGCTGAAGTAAAACCCCTTCATTGAATTAGTACACACAAAAATGATTTTAGGACATAAGCCTTCGGTTTGGTTTTGTATGAACTACCAATTTTCATTAGGGATTGGCTATGGAGAGACCATTGTTGTGTAGGTGCATACAGTCAAGACTCTGTAGGAAGTTTTGAATTTGCTTGTACCTCTAGACTTGTATTCCACTTCTCATCAACAAAAGAACAACTTCTATAGAATTTGTAGTACACACACGAACTAACACATGAACACATACATATATACGGGTGATATTTTTGCTCGCAAACTCAAAATAGCAAGTAAAAGAGGGCTAAAAGGTTTGGTGTTATTTTGAAATGAAGTTTGTAGTATTTATAGGAAAAAAGAGACAATCCTTCCTAAAGAAGGTTCACACGTCCCAAGGGACGGGCTGGCTGATTTATGAGCTGATTTTTTCCTACTTTTTTCAGATTTAATATTAATCCTTTTTTATGGAGATGTGTGTACGCATGCCAAAGACAGGCTGGCTGGATTTGGTGCATCCATAGTGCTTTTTATACTACTCCGTACTAAAGTGTTGAAGTTGCAGAAAGTTCCATCACAATTTACTTTTTCTACTCTTTAATGGTATACTGTAGATGATTAAACCATTCTACTTTCTGCTGTAGATCTGTAATTTACGGCTACACTATTTCACTTTCATCATTAATTCATATTGTGCAATTTTACCCTTCACAAATTGCCCTTGGCAGGGTTATTTATGTAATTTCTGGTTATGCACTTTCCTACCTTGGGACTTTGGGCGAGAATACTGTTCAAAAAACATGCCAGTACCAAAAATCTTTTGCTTTTATATAATGATAGATTTGCGCAGTGCATGATATTGTACATATTAGATTCATTTTGTTCTAGCTTACCATTCATGTTTGCACGCCTTTTAACTTCGTTCTCACGACATCTTTGTTACATATCACTGTGAGAGAAAATTAGTACTCAACTGGTTCTCCTTTTTTGGTGGCTGGTCAAAATCGATGATTTAGTCAATTTCTATTCGGATGAATTTTCTTTGTTGGTTGCTGGTCAAACCAATTCTCATTTTCGAGTGATCGGTGAAAGGGGATCTTTTATTTGTATTTTTTTTAAAAATTTTTCCTTTAGAGTAGCAAGAAGAGCAGCAAAACTATTAGACTAAACTATATTATTGCGAGATTATTGATTTGGAAGGATTCGTGGATTCTTTCCATTACATTTCTCATCTCATTGTAGCCTTATATTATTCAATCAATTGCTCATTCACTACCCAGTCCCATAAAAGTTGGCCAAATTTTCTTTTTTAGCCATCTAAAAAAACTTTGTCATTTACACTTAAAGTAACTAATATATGGTTAAAGTTATTTATCTATCATCTACACAAATCTCAATCACATAGTTTTTATTTTATTATTTTTAAGCGCAATTCAACTTTGACCAAATTTTATGAAACGGAGGAATATTTAAATTAGTTACTACCTCCGTCCCACTAAGATTGGGACAAAAGAAGGTGACACGATTATTAAGAAAAGTGAGTTTGTGTGATTGCTATTAAATTGATAAAGTAAGAATAAAGTAAAAATGATTTAGAGCCACACAATTTTTACCAAATTTGGTATGAGACAATCTTAGTGGGACTTCCCGAAAAGGTAAAATGGGACAATCTTTGCGGGACGGAGGGAGTATTTGATTTAAAAAAACTACCGCGAACTTCAAACTTGATTAGTCAAAAAACTAAATACTCCCTCGATTTCATAAAGTTAACTTTGACAGTGGAGTATGATAGCTTTGTGGAACCTGGGAGAGTCTAAATGCTAAACATATGTGACTCCAGTGGTTAGTCTGGTTACATTTCCATACCCTTCATCAAAGGAAAATTTCCTTTGTACGCGCCAGTTTTTACATGTCGGGTTACACGCTGGTCAAATTATCTGTGTACAGACAATTTGATCGACTACACAGACAATTTACTGGTGTTTTATGAATAAAATCGATTTTTACACAGACAAAAAAATGTTTGTATCACAAACATTTTAAAATTCTCGTTTAAAATTGTCTGTATCACAGACACTTTATGAAAAATTATAATCTAAAATGTCCGTGATACAAACAACTCTTTTTTGTTTTTATCTATGCGGAAATCGATTTTCTTCCTAAACGCCGATCAAATTGTGTGTACCATACAATTTCACAGGCGTGGAACTGGGCTTGAAACCCGGCCTCTACAAGAAGAGGAAGATGGACTCTTCATCAAAACGCGCAGTCAATGGGTCGGGTTCACATCGTGGCGGCAGAGCAAATGTATAAATTTCGTCCAAATCAAAATCTGCTTGCTTTGATTAGGAAAAACAGAAGGCATCACTGAGCTTCTCCATAGTCCACACTGAGATTAATCGCTCAAACGGTTGTTTACGAGACGCGATGGCTGATGAATCGGAGATATACGACGGTATTAGGGCTCAATTTCCTCTTTCTTTCGGCAAGCAAGCACAATCTCAAACCCCTCTCGAAATCGTCCACAGCACCACCCGCCGCGCGGCCTCCACGGTGCCGGATGCGAATACCCTGGATGGGAAACCCATCAATTCATCTTCTAAGAGCAAAGACAGTCTTTATTTAGCTCCGTCTTCCCAATCCTTGTTAGAGTCGTTCAAGAACGCAAACCATAGGAATCCGAAGAAGAGCGTGACATTTGGACCTCCGCGGCCCACCATTGAGTTTGACCCGGGGAATGGTGAGGAGGAGGAGGAGGAGGTTTCCATGATAGGACCACCCCGACCTTCAGTTGAGACAGATGGTGAGGATGATGTGGCCGTTATTGGACCTCCACTGCCTCCAGCAGTAGATGACGAGGAGGATGAGCCAGTGATTGGACCGCCTGCACCACCACCTGGTTCAGTTGGATCCGATTCAGATGATGAAATGGAAGAGGAAGAAGAAAACCTGTATAGAATACCTTTGAGCAATGAAATAGTATTAAAAGGGCATACAAAGGTACTTCCTAATGGAATTGCTTTTGCCATAAAAAAGTTCCCAATTTTAATACCCACAAATTATTTTGACATATCCCCTCATTATGTGTAAATTTAAATGTAGATGCTTGTATTGTTTTCTACAGAACTATTTAGAATGCATACACTGTTGTTTGGTCAGGTTGTTTCTGCACTTGCAGTGGACCATACAGGATCGAGAGTTCTTTCTGGTAGTTATGACTATAGTGTTCGGATGTATGATTTCCAAGGGATGAATGCCCGGCTACAGTCATTCAGACAGGTTGAGCCATTTGACGGCCATCAAGTTCGTAGTTTGAGTTGGAGTCCCACAGCAGACCGGTTTTTATGTGTCACTGGCTCAGCTCAGGTCAAGGTGTGTAAATCTACTGATGTGACCTTCGCATTTAGAGACAACAATAGAATGCTGGGCATATCTTATTTCGTTGTTGGTTTGTCAGATATATGATCGTGATGGAGTTACTCTGGGTGAATCTGAAAGGGGAGACATGTACATTCGTGACCTCAAGAATACTAAAGGACACATTTCTGGATTGACATGTGGTGAATGGAATCCCAAAACAAAGGAGTTGATCTTAACATCGTCAGAAGATGGGTCACTGAGAACGTGGGATGTGAATGACTTTAAATGCCAAAAGCAGGTCATTAAACCAAAACTTTCTAGGCCTGGGAGAGTTCACGTGACTACATGTTGTTGGGATCGTGAAGGAAAGCGCATTGCAGGTGGTATAGGAGATGGTTCTATACAGGTTTTTTTCTCTGAGAGCTTGTCTTGAAGGATTTTTGTTTTTCACAGATGTATTGAAATCCATGTATTTTACATTTATTCATTTTCCCCATAAAAAGAATCCTGTTTGACCAATATACAACTTTTTAATTTTGGACTAAATCAACAATCCTGCTTATACAGTTTAAATTTATGTGAGCGTTTAAATAAATGCATCATTTGTGACTCTTTTTGGCAAATTAGTGAAATATGAGGTTTGCCTAATAAAATGATTTTTTTTTTGGACAAAAAATGTTCAAACACTACTTTTTTTATGGCAGAAGAATCTTTTTTTCTTCATGTGTTCATGATACTTAATTCTGTTCTCAAAGATATGGAATCTTAAGCCTGGATGGGGAAGCAGACCGGACCTACATGTAGTAAATGCACACACAGACGATATTTCTGGAGTCAAGTTCTCAAGTGATGGAAGGATTTTATTATCAAGAAGCTTTGATGGTTCAATGAAGGTAAGGTCACTGGGATTTTCTGTTATTATTTATCATTTTCTCCTACTTAATATATGTGTCAATTACTGTATTATCTGTACTGTGTAGGTTTGGGATTTGCGAAAGATGAAAGAACCCCTCAAGGTTTTTGATGATCTTCCAAATCATTATGCACAAACAAATATTGCACTCAGTCCAGATGAACAGATCTTCTTGACTGGGACATCTGTTGAGAGGGACAGTACAACTGGAGGCTTGTTATGCTTTTATGATCGGGCAAAGCTGGAGCTTGTGTCAAAAGTTGGAATCTCTTCTACTTCCAGTGTTGTGCAGTGTGCTTGGCACCCAAGGTTAAATCAGGTATTTCACATTTTCTTTTCTTTCCGTGGATCTTCAAGGTTGCTTTGAAACCCAGAAAATACTAGATGATGAAAATAGAAAGGACAATAGAGTGGATAAGGGGAGGAGAGAAAATTCGGGTAAAAATAAAATATAAACTCAATCTAAATAGTTTGTTTTATATATTTTTAAATTCATTTTATTTATTTATTTCTAGTATATGAGACTAAGAAATATAGAAATGTGAAAAAATTGAAAATTCAATCACATTCTATTTCTTGCATTTTCCAAATGAAAGCGAAAAAGCATATAAAATTAACTTTTCCTTAGCATCTAGTTTCCCTTTCTTTACATTATTCGTGATCCAAACATACCCAGAATAACACAAATATGATCCAACAAGAGGTTCGGAAGAATAGTCTGGTAGAAAACCACAGTAGGCAGTGATTTTTCTCAGCCACCCCCACCCACTGAATTTTTTCTGGTTAAATATATTTTTTGAAAATATTTTAAAAATAGAAAAGAATTAATATAATCTTTATTTTCTATCACAAGTTAGCAACATAGCATATGATCCAACAATGATTTAATATGTATAATATACTTAAGGATTTTTTCCAAAATAGGATTCACTAGTTTGGTTATCTAATTTTCATCTTACATTTTTTTTAATATTCATGCAATTTGAAGGTTCACTGATATTCACAACAATTGTTTTTAGGTATTTGCCACGGCAGGAGATAAGCGTGAGGG